GCTGAAATTGTTGTGAAGTACAACGAGAAACTTCCCTCGGGCTTCACTCCTGCATGTAAACCATCGATACCCCCTTAGTGTCTTATTCGACCCAAAGTGCATCTTAGTGTACCAAGAATTTGAAGGAAATCTGAGCAGCTATCGCCCGTGCTGAAACAACTGTCTCTTCTTTTTCTGCACGAGAAATGTTCAGAGAGTGTACATCGTATTGTTACGGGGAAGATTTATTCAACGACAGCAGGTCTTGCTAACGGCTTAAAGAGCGCACAGTCATGCAGGCCAACGGGGGAAGCTCGAGAGACCAACCCACAACAACCACGTTGTCGTCTTCCTCCTTTCGGGTGCCATTTCAGCTGTGCTGAAACGAGAGTTCCATACACGTATCATCACCCTGGCCGGTAAGGCACCATCTCAGTGCCTGTTAAATGAGCGAGTCTGCGTTGTAGGACTTGAGACGGAAAACGTGGACTATTTCCGTTCTGGGTGCAGCAGCCAACGAGTTTGTGGTAGCGGCAATCTCGTAGGTCACAGGTGTGACCAGACGAAGGAGCCGGTAGGGCCCTGTGTATCGCGATAGTAGTTTATCCCAGAGGCCGACACGTAGAGATGAGAGCCAGAGGAGAACAAGAGATCCCGCAGAAAAAACGGCATCCCTATGTCGACGGTTGTAAAGGGACTTTTGTGCTGTCTGCGACGACGATAACCGAGCGCGGGCTACCGCGCGTTCTCTGAGAGCACGGGTGATCGCATCCTGAGCGTACGAAGTGGAAGATAGTTGGTCTGAGGAAAGCAGTGTGTCGAAGGGCAGTAAGGGATGACGTCCGAAGAGTAGATAAAATTGGGAGTAGCCTGCTGTTTCATGACGGAACGAGTTATAGGCGAAGGTTACAAACGACAGAGCTATGTCCTAATCGAGTGTGGTCGGTAGATACGTACATGGAAAGCATGTCTCTCAATGTTCGGTTTAGGCGCTCTGTGAGGCCGTTAGTATGAGGGTGGTAAGATGTGGTGAAGTTGTGACGGGTAGTACAAGATCGGAGTAGATCATCAACCACACGCGATAGAAAGTATCGACCACGGTCTGTGAGCAGGTGAGACGGAGCGCCATGCTGCAGAATAATGTCGTAGAGCAGGAAGTCGGCAACGTCTGTTGCGCAGCTGGTTCGTAGCGCTCGAGTGATTGCATACCGAGTGACATAATCTGTGACTACTGCAGTTTATTTATTCCAGTTGTAGAAGTAGGAAAGGTACCTAGCAAGTCCAACACCACTCGATAAATCGGCTTGGCTGGAACTTCAATCGGTTGAAGAAGACCGGCACGGGGAGTCGTAGGTTTCTTTCGGTGCTGGCAGAGGTCGCAAAATGCGACGTAACGGCGAACGGAGCGGTAGAGACCGTTACAGAATACTCGTCGTCAAACGCGGTCGTAAGTTCTGGAGAATTGTAGATGCCCAGAAGTTGGAGCGTCGTGGCATTGTTGTAGAACATCCTTACGCAGGTGATGTGGTACGACGAGTAAAAGTTCCGCGCCGTCGGGGTGTAAGTTGCGGCGGTACAAAGCACTGTGTTAAAGCAGGAATCTGCTAAGGGAAGACATCAGTATGACGCGATTGAACACGGTCAATGGTGGTGAGCAGCGAAGGATCTCGGCGTTGCTCGTCGGCCACGTTCAGAAAGTCAGTGATGGCTAAAACGCAGGCATCAGATTCTAAATCAGTGGAGGTAGGTGGATCAACGGGATTATGGGATAAGCAGTCAGCATCACTGTGCAGGTTTCCAGATTTGTACACAACTGAGAACGTGTACTCCTGTAATCGAAGTGCCCATCGGCCGAGTCTTCCTGTAGGGTCCTTAAGCGTCGACAGCCAGCAAAGCGCATGATGGTCCGTGATGACTGCGAACGAACGACCGTATAAGTACGGACGGAGTTTCGCAATGGCCAAAACGAGGGCTAAGCATTCCTGCTCAGTGATTGAATAATTTTTTCCGCTTGCGACAGAGGGCGACTAGCGTAGGCTATCACACGGTTGGTGCCATTCTGTATCTGAGCGAGTATAGCACCAATGTCGTGGCCGCTTGCATCGGTGCGAAGCTCTGTTCGAGCCACTGGATGAAAATGAGACAACACAGGTGGTGATGTGAGGGCGGTAATCAATGGCGCGAAAGGAATGTTCTCGGTCCTTGCCCCAATGAAAAGGCCACATTCTTTTTGAGGAGATCCGTGAGGGGCCTAGCAATATACGCGAAGTTGAAGACAAAGCGGCGGAAGTATGAACAGAGCCCAATAAAACTGCGAACTTCTTGTGTGGAACGCGGAACCGGAAATTCTCTGACTGCACTGACTTTGTCAGGGTCGGGTTGAACACCAGTGGCGTCAACAAGATGACCGAGTAGTTTAATATGCCGGCGTCCAAATGAGCATTTCGACGAATTTAGTTGGAGACCAGCACAACGAAAAACGTCAAGAATTGCCGAGAGACGAGATAGGTGGCTTTCGAAGAAGGGCGAGACAACGATTACATCGTCCAGATAGCAAAGGCAGGTCGACCATTCGAACCGCTGAGAAGAGAGTCCATCATACGATCAAAAGTAGCCGGGGCATTGCACTAACCAAAAGACATGACCTTGAATTTGGAAAGGCCGTCGGGCGTGATGAATGCTGTCGTTGAATGCTGTCGGGTGTGATGAATGCGTCGACCTAAATTTGCCAGTATCCTGATCGAAGGTCAAGGGACGAGAAATAGTTGGCGCCGTGGAGGCAGTTGAGCGCATCATCGATTCGGGGTAGAGGATAAACGTCCTTTTTGGTGATCTGATTCAGGTGGCGATAGTCGACGCAAAAGCACCAGGTGTTGTCCTTCTTTTTAACTAAGACTACAGGAGATGCCCAAGGACTCGATGTAGGCTCAATGACGTCTTTGCTCAGCATTTTCTCGACCTCCGTCTGTGTAACTTGGCACTCAGCATGTGACACGCGATAAGGGCGTTTGTGGAGTGGACTGGCGTCGCCGGTGTCGATGCGGTGAGTTACGACACTTTTGCAGCCCAGGGGACGGTCGTCGACGTCAAAAATATCCAGGTAATATAATAGAACACCCCGGAGCACTGCAACTTGGGAAGGTAAGAGGTCACTGGATATCATTTTGTCGAGGAACGCCTTATATTGTGGGGTGAAGGCAGGTTTCGCCATGGTATTAGTGTCAGGGGTAAAAGAATAAATCGAACATTCGTCAAGGGTGGAAAGATCGGCTAGAGTGATGTCTTGGGGGAGAACTTGGGTCGACGTAGAGAAGTTCAGAACTGGAAGTAGCACCGTGTTGTTAGCAACAACCACTATAATATGTGGTTGTGCGATGTGGTGCGTAAGGGTCAAATCAATGAGGGCTGCCACCAGATAGTCTCCTTCAGGAACGGATGAAAAGGGCGACACAGGAATGTACATAGCAGTCTGGGATGGCAGCCGTAACGACTCCACGGATCGTAGCCGAGTGTGACTTGGAGGAGTGAAATCGGTGCACAAAGGCAATTCGAGCCATAATATACCTGTCGAACAATTGGTGAGGGCGGAGTGGACGGTTAAAAAATCAATTCCAAGGATGACGTCATGTGGTAAGCATCAGGACTGCGAAGAGAGCGGAGGTGTGGTGGCTGGCAACAGTAACGCGGGCAGTGCACATGCCAAGCACCGATGTTCGACTTCCGTTGGCCACTCGAACAGTGGAGGGCATAGCAGGTGTGAGAACATTTTTCAGGTGAGATCGAAGTGTTGAACTCATAACAAATACTTGGGCACCAGTGTCAATTAGAGCAGTAACGGCGTGGCCATCAACTGAACACTGTCTTGAATTTGTAGCCGGTTGAGGGTTTTTGTTCAGAGTCGTCAACGCAGCGCCACCTACAGGTGCTGCACTCATTCAGTTTCTCGGGGGATGACCAGAATAAGCCGGTGATGGAGAGCGGCGGCGTTGAGGGGAGCATGACGGCTGACCCTGAGGTAACGGCGAGTGGCTAGACCAGTTTCTTTGGGCAACGACATCAGTGTAGGACGGTTGGGAGCGTGAAGATGAACGGCGAGGTGAAGGGTCCTGAAGATGGTCATCCGGATAAGTGGGTTGCGAATAGTGTCCACGGTTCTCACGGCGGTCGACATTGGGAAAGCTTGGCAGGAAATACCGCCTGTTGCGGCAATGGCGAGAGATGTGCCCAGATTGAGAGCGAGAAAAGCAGATGGGTCGATAATCGTGTGTGTGCCCTTCAGATGGATTTCGGTAGCGTGGTGGAAACGAGGAGTTGAAGCTGCCATAGCAACAAGTGGAGCAGAGTGGTGGTCAGTGTTGTGGACGGGAGTACTCATGGGCTGTGGCATAATCCTGGTGAGCTGGAGAACCTGGACGCCCAGGTTAGCAAACTCCTGACGTACGACGGCTTGAATAAGCGAGACTGTTGCCCAGTTGTGTTGCACAGGAGGCTGATAGGAAGCAGGAGGCTGATAGGAGGCTGATAGGAATATCAGCACAGGAGGCTGATAGAAATTTTTTCGTTACATTATCATTTTCACATGGACCAGCCTGCGCTTGCGCGCTAAATCAGTCAAAAAGATTTAGCGCGCCTAGTGAAGGAAAGCGGTCTCTGCGCAGTACAACCACCCTCCTGCAATACACTACGACTTAGTGAACCTACCGAAAAGTCTGTTTCGAAAGCGCTCGCTTCCAGCAAGCAAATGGATGCTTTTTTTTTGCGAAAGGCGTTAATGATAAAATTACTCGAACGCGTTATTTTAGAAATGTGGGTTTCGAGGTCGGAATGTGGAATGACCAGATGTAATGCAATTTTTGTTAGGCGTATGCGGTGCGCTCCAAAGCAGCTATCGTGCTTTGGTCAAGCATTTTTTAATCATCCCACTTTACATACTATTTATTCCTTGTCAGTCTTTTTTACTTCCTATTTCACAGCTGCTGCCCATATTCTAGAGTCATAATGTCGCTCTTTGTTGTACGCAGGAATATGGTGGTTGCAGCTGCTATTTATGCTCATCACGAAGGTCTTTACCTCGTGTGCTAGTTCCGTGAATCATGTCCAGATATCAGAAATGTACCCAACCCAGGTGAGGACGCTGGCTTCAGGATGGTCAGTGACCACGAGTCGAGTGGGTGCCATTGTGGCACCATTCACGAAAGAATTGGTGAGTATAAGCACCCATGTGTACTCTTCTACAAGCCAATGGTTAGAGAAGCTGGGTTTTTGGGTTCTATGTGATTATCAAGAAGTACGAAAAATCACAGGATTAGGAACACAAGCAGCGCCAACTCTCAAAAATAGTTTGCGTGCCTTTTTGCGCTGTTTTCTAATTGTCTAGAACTCCTTATACCTAAAAGATGAATTGCGGAAATCTACGCTGAACGTTGCACAACACAATTTCACCCATAAAATGCTCCTTTCGCGACGATAGTGCGAGAGTCGCAGGATCCGTTTTGAAATGTTGCCGTCTTTCGTGAAGGACACAGTGCTTCCTCATGGCGACTCACCTTGTGTTCTCGCTGGAGCCATCATGAGCTGACGCTCCCTTGATCATAAACCGCAGTTAATTATAATTGTTAATCGCGTGGTATCGCGTCTCGAGCGGCGGCAGCGTTTGATTACATGTTTTGGCTAGGTACAGTATCAAATCAGTCAGTATTATTAAATGCAGAGCATTTTTCGCGTAGTGCAAAAACGTTTGGCGTCTATCTGCGTATCTATGTATCCGCCTACATCTGGATGCTATTGTGCTCCACTACTTAACTTGGGGTGACCAACAATTAGTGTGAAAGGGTAAGATGATTTGACGAATATGACCCGCTCGTTATGAGATGAATAATGTCATGATCTCGTCGCGTTCTTCGTCAGTCACTCTCCGCCAGATAGTGGCACATACCCGCGGGTGGGTAAGAGACACTACTAGTACGCGGGTATGCGCCATAGGCGTTTGACAGTTCATCTGTAGCCAAGAACGGTGACGACAGACATTGGTCATTTAAATGCAAGATGTTAAGGAAACGTAACAACGGCAGCGTTTGTACGACGAAAATCGGGGTCCGAGCAGGAATCAAAGCCACACTGCGTTGAAATCAAGCAGTCTGCCACAGAGCCACGCCGTATCTCAGTACAGCTTTGAAAAACTACGCTATTTAGGTGCAGTGTTGATGACACGTCAGTTGTGGTTGCAGTGCTGGCTATTCAATTTTATGAAGATAATATATGTACTCTTATCATACAACAGTCTCGTAGGGTTAACGTTAGTTGTATTTGTGTGTGATCCACTGAAGTTCATTTATGTAGCAGTGTGAAATGCTACCATGTTTGCGAGAGCAAGCGTTACACATCAGCTGACCACTTCTCGCGTTGCTATTGCTAATACGACGAAGGCAAAAGACAAGTCGAAACGTGATGACCGTAAAGAAACGGAAAAACCAGCTTAGGGACGCGTACACAAGAGGAGAAGACGGGATACACACGCTAGATGTGTGTCGTTTCTTCAAGCATGTACCAATAGGACCAGCAACAGATTCTATGTGCTCAGATTTGGGTGCACGTTAAAGAACCCCAGGTGGTCTAAATTTCCGGAGCCCTCCACTACGGCGTCTCTCATAATCATATAGTGGTTTTGGGACGTTAAACCCCACATATCAATCAACAGATTCTACTATGCTTATCATGACATGCACGTCACATAAAACATGATTTCACGCTACGCTCATAGTGCGCTCTAGGCCATTTCGCTTGCTTCATATATACCAAACTTGGTGTTACGTGACGTGAATGGACGACGAACACAAATGCCGGGCGCAACCATGATAACTATGAGACGGAATTCATGTACGGCATAATTTGCGTCGGCCTCATAGCGTTGTTCTGATTTTAAAGTGACATATAAGCCTTCCTTATTCGTGCTTCGCATATCGTCGATTTCCGCTGTACGTGGGATCTGCCGAGTTTTTGAGTGATGACAAAATAATGCACCACTGTGTTTTGTATATTTGGAATCAACTGTGGTCGGCGCGCGAAGAAGCGTCATCCAGCTTCGTTACTTCCATTCCCGCACACTTTTGCTGCTTTCCCTTCCACCGAAGCTATAGACTTGGTGAACAGTCACATTGACAGAGGCTTTACACGTATTGCAAAAGAATTTTCAGCGCACAGAAGTGCATGCGCGCAGGAAGGAGTGCACGATCGATCGCGCTTGCTTCTCAATGCCGCTCACGGACGACGTTTCGGGAATTAGACATGCACACATCGATTCCCTAAAATGAGTCCAATCTTAAGAATACTGATATCACACTAGTGCACACGTCACTTTAATTGCAACGCGCAGTGTAAATAATTGTATGCACTGTTGAGCCACAGTCTCGTGGTGCGCGTCTGATGCGAAATTGCGTCGCTGCGACATTCATTTATTTCAACAGATCACAAACGTATCAACAAAACAAAAAACCACCCACAGTTCACGAGATCTAATAATGGCTGAGGCGGCTTTATTTTCGATGGAGGCGAAAATGCTGTAGGCTGGTGTACTTCGATTTGGGTACACGTCCAAGAACCCCAGGTGGTCCAATTTTCGGAGCCCTTCACTACGGATGGCTTTCATGATCATGTGGTAGTTTTGCGACTTTACACTGCACATATTGAATGAATGAACAAAAATAGACATACATAGTTTTTAGTTACGTGGCGTTCCATACGCACCCACGTCTAGTCATAAACACCCCTACCTTCTTCCTGCCACTCTCTCTTCCTCGTACTCTCTACGAGCGTACGTTGCGAACATGCTTCAGCTGATATTCGGCCAATTATGTTATCGCGAACCAGCTAAACGGCTTTAGCCGAGTCGAAAAGAGACTAACCATATGATAACTCAAATAAACACAGCAGTATAAAAAGTGCGGCCAGATTGTTGTGAAACACAAACTTGGGTTGGTATCGCTGGTACGCAGAGTGGTTGCTTCTGTGAGGTTGAAAAAAAAAAGAATTTGTATCCGGCGTGTTATTAGACTGGGCTCGCTTCTGCATAGGTGCCGCCTAGAAGGTCTTACTTCCTAGCGGCTTCGTAGGCTCGCCAGATGATTGCCCATAGCTGATCGTCCAGGGCTGAACTGAGCAGCACGGCTCGACAACGCGTGCGGATGCTGTCGGTGGAGACCGCGTTCTCTATACTGTGTTTCATTTATTCCCTGTAAATATCATGTTCCAAGGAACTTCGTGCCTGACAATTTTCGGATTGAGGTTTCGAGTAGATCTGTGGGTACATAGCGTGTAGTAGCGGTGGACTTTTATAGGGTCTGCCCTGCCGCGGTGGTAGCTCACCCGCCCGGCGCGGTATCCAATCCTGGCATCGACGGTTGCATTTTTCATGCAGGCAAAAACGCTATAGGTCTGCAAAGAAGCCCAGGTGGTCTCAATTTTTGGAGCCCTCCACTACGGCGCCCCTCATGATATGGTGGTTTCGCGACGCTAATCCACACATATCAATCAATCAATCACTCAAACGTATAAGGTATAGTTTGTAATTGTCGCAACTGGACAGACTGTGCCCTGTTCAGTTTAAGGAGAGTTGGTGGTTAAACGCATCTCTGCGATTTATAATGTTTTTAACTGAACTGAATGTTGTCAATGGGTCCTCTCAGTCCGACACATTAGGAAATTCAGACGAGGGGCCGAAATATGTCGTAGCCCGGAAGGTGAGTAATCGAGCTACATTGTGTACCGCCTCGTTAGCATTGATCTCTCCCATGGTGTCGGGTAGGTGAGCTGAGAACCACAGAATGCAGACGCACCTGCCACCTTGGGTTGTTTGCCCGTTCTAAGAATACAAAGGGCTTCAGGCGAGATTATGCAATTTGTCAAGTGGCGTACAGCTGCTTGTGAATCACTATAGCTGCATTACTTTTTGTGGTTAACTACTGCCACGACGAAGCATTGTTTGCGTTTGTAATGAGTGGCATCTACGAAGACCACTTTATTGCTGTTTCTGAGGCTCTTTATCATTTAGCGTCTTGGCCTTGCTTAGCCTTCTACCTGCGTTGTGCTGGGGGTGTATGTGTTTGGGTAATAGAGGGACTGTGAACTTAGCCAGCTTGTCTTGGGGAATGTCGCATTAGGTACCATATTTTGTGGTAAATGATGCCGTAAATTTTAAAAGGTATATCTACCAGTCTAAGTTTTAGAGCGGCACTCGTACTGTGCAATACCTTGCGCCTCTTTCATTTCCTCTGGTGTATTACGTCAACATAGCTCCTGCAGCTTCTCTGTACTTGTGCTTTGCATGAAGTCTCCGCGCTTTCTTGTAGTTCTTTCGTACGAGACTGTTTATTTCATTTTTCTGCTGCGAACCATCTATAACATGTGGAAACATACGTAATGTGGCTGACGACAAACGCGTGGATGAGCCTTACGGTCATTGCTTATTTCCTTCCGCTATTCTTATATATTATTTCCTTTGATCATGTGCGTCGTTTGAGAAGCATTCGCTTCAAGATGGAGGACAGCTCTGTTGGTGCTCTTAGCGCCTATTATTAACCCCAGTACCCTTCTCGACAATGGGTATTGTGCGTCCATCGCGTATTGTAAGCTGTATGTGTGTGTAGGTATGTGTATCGTGGTGCTTGGGAGGTCGGACATTTAATGTTGGTCTATATACTTCCAGCTAAAAGTTTTCGGCTGGTCACGTGAGACCAGTTCCTTCTAGATATTGCTCTAGACGTTGTTTATTTAACCCATCGCTGCCGGTTATCCCTCACACAGTAATGTAATCTGCATAGTTTGTAAGGTGGAAACCTTATGTCTTTTTTAACCTACTTCACAGGCCAGTTAAGACTAAGGTAATTAGCATAGGTCATACCACCAATATTTGCGGGATACCTGAACTACCTAAAGATATTTCCTCGAATGTGAGGCCCCCTACTATTATTTTGGCTAGCCTATTCGTAAATAAGCTTCGGATATAGTTGCACGCGCGCTCACCAGAGCATAAGTTACGGACATGATTCAGTGTGGCTAGGTGGGTAACATTGACAATTGCCTTTCGAGATCAAGCCCGAGTATGGCTAGAGCTGGTCTCCGAGGGTCATCTATGACCTGGTGTTTCAATTGTAACATGACGTCCTGCATGCGGGATATTCTTCTGAAATCCTATCATCGAACATTGGC